CAAACACCCTGAGTTGGAAAGATGCCTGGTGTGTCCAAGGAAAAGCAGGGAGGCCAATATGGCTGGATTAGAGTGAGAAAGGAGAGTAACAAATAAAAGCGATTAGGGCAAATAAGAGTAGTGTCTGGATGATGTATGGCTTTTTAGCCATTGTAAGGACATGGCTTTTACTTCAAGTAATGACGGAAGCAGTTGAAGGGTTTTAAGCAGAGTGACATGATCTGACCTATTAGAAGGCCATGGAATGGGCAGGGAAACTGGAACGCTATTGGCAATAATCCAGTGAGAGATGATAATGAGTGGTAGTGAAAACAGGGTCAGATACTGGATGTATTTTGGAGGTAGAGCTGACAAAATTTGCTTATGATTTAGGTCAAAGTATTAGAGAAAAGGAGGAGTCAAGAATGCCTCCAGAACTTTTGACCTGAGCAGTTGTGAAGGATTGAGTCACCATTTATTAATATTGGGAAGACTACAAGATAAAGAGGTTTTGGAGGGAAAGATTAGGAGTTTAGTTGTGGACATGTTAAATTTAAAATAAAGGTGTCGGCAGGCAGTTGGTTATAGGAGTCTAGAGTTCAACTACAGAGAAGTAACTAGGGTTATAAGTAGTGATCCAGTTCTTGAATCATATATGAATGACTTGAGACAAAATACAAATACCTGCCTATTGGACACCTAACCACTGAAGGTAATTAGAAGTAAAACTTCCCTATATCTAAGTTCTCTAAACTGATTTTTAAAAAAAGAGTGGTTCTTAAATGAATTAAAATTTTGAAAAAGCTATTGCATATATTAATAAAAACTAACATTTATTGAGTTGAGTACTATGGTAAGCACCACTTTACATGGATCACTTCCTATAATTCTGCAGCAGTCTGATGTAGTGGTACTGTTATTGTCACTGTTTTTACAGAAGAGGAGAGCAAGGCTCAGAGTGCTTAAGTAATCTGCACAAAGTCAAATTGGTAATCTGTCATAGCAATAGTATTTGAATCTAAACAGACTGGCTCTAAAGCTCATGCTCTTAACTACACTATTCCTTCAGGCTGGAGAGGATAGAAAAAACGAAGTTAGACACAAACACAATAGATAGAGATGAAGATACAACCAGCTCCTGTGGACCATAAGTAAAAAGTTCTTTATTCAAAGGCAACCTTTGAATATTATAAGGGTAAATTTATGGATAATTCTTTTTCCTTGATATTTTATTATGAAAATTTACAACACATAGAAAAGTTAAATTATACAGTGAACACCCATATCTTGACCACCTAGATTCTATAGTTAACATTTCTTAAAATGATTAATACAGCTAAATTTGTTTTATCATGTTTGTACCGTCTTTATTCATCATCTTTCAGTCCACTTCACTGTGATACATTTCAAAGTAGGTTGAAAACATCAGTATACTTTATCTCAAACCATTAAGTTGCACGCATGATTTTGGAATTCACATTCAAAAATTAAAACAGTACTATTGGATTTAAATTAATTCATGGAATTTTTTAAGGTTAAAGATTATTCTCTTGTTCAAAGTATTAATGAGTAATATAGCAATGAAGTAATTTTCAACTCAGTCATATATGATTCAACTTCATTTCAACACAGAGGACGGGGAGGCACGTGAGAGGGATGAAATCCGGCATGACAGGCGAAAAGAGAGACAGCATGACCGGAATCTTTCCAGGGCAGCTCCTGATAAAAGGTAGGTGCTGTTTGACATAAATACAAACTGTGAAGACTGGCCTTTGTGAACCTTTTAGAGAAGAGGTTTTGTCCACTAAGACCAGGTTTGCTTCTCTCCCTTCCTCTTTAGTTTGATAACTTAATAAATTAGCACTTATTTTCTTGCACTTAACTACCTGTCTTGGCAAAAGAATTGACTATCTCTGAAAGTAATCTTTCTTCCATCACCTCATAGAGTCAGCCAGAATTGAGAATGATGGGGATATAGAAAAGGAAATTCAGGTCATTTTTATGAAAAGACAACAGTGGATAGAACTGTTCTGGTCTGTTCTAATTTCAAATGTTCCTCTAGACAAGTAATAAGCGGCAGTGCCTCTATTGAGGCCCTTTTCCATGCGGAGCACTATACAGAGTACAATGGAGGAGAAAAGCAGGTTTTCTAAGAGGTGAAAATTGACTTCTCATGAGCAGTTTCATTTAAAATTCAGAAAGAGCTATTATATAAAATTGGGGAAATTGATAAAGCACTTTTTTAAAAATCAAAATATAGTTGGCATACAGACAACGCACATCTTAATAAGTACAAACTTGTGTAGAACAAACTAAATACATGTACGGGGACTTGGAATAAAGTAGAGATTGGTGAAGTTTGTGGTTCACCAAAGGTTGAGGACTGAAATTGCTGAAATGAGGAAATGCTGTAATATGGAGGTAAAATTCTGAATGAGGGTTAAATGCAAATATAAAACATTCTCTTCCCAAATGAGCAGTTTTGCATACTCTCATCATTTTATGAGCTGATACAATCTATTTTTTCAATTCATATTTTAAACATGAAAAAGATTCTTGGTAGTGGTCTTTGTTGTTTAATGGCATATTTCATCTCCCGGGATAAGAGATGTCATGGGGAAGCAGAAAACCTGAGTTTAGAGTTGTGGGTAAATGTACAGTATAAAAGAGAGAGGAATGAAGTCTGACAGTATGCAGTTAATGACACTTTTGGTCTGAAATTCCTAAGCTATAAAAATCAAAGTAGATAAATTGGGCCCTTAAAACCGGTAAAGTGGCTGTGAGAATTGATAACATAGAAAAGCAGTAAACTTGTGATTGGATGAAAATCAAATTGTCTGTAGAATCATTTTAAGACCTGAGCTTCTAGTAAAATAAATGACAGTTACCATGGTTTCATTGCAATTTGATTGCATACATACTGAAACATCAGGGAAATTAATCTGTTGAAAATCATGCTGAGTAATCCAGTCATTGACATGTTTTTCCTCACAATTCTAATAGGATAAAATTACTAAATGTGGTTAGGTAGAAAAACTGATTCTAGCTTATTGAAAATGATTCATATGATACATCTAATTTGTATCCAGGCCCCCCAATCCTCATATAATAGCAAATATAGACCATAGCAATTTCCTATCTCAGCATGCATTGTAAGGTGATTGCTTATATTAAAGATTTCTGTGTCAAGAATGAGTCTCTCAACAGTTCTCAGCTAACAGGAGGGTCTAATTATAAAACTACCTATTCTAATAATCACATATCTGAAATGCTAACCCACTTATGCATTACCAGGGAATATATATTCACAAGGTGTTAACAAGACATAGTCATTTCCTTTGCTTCCGAGATTGATTGTATTTTTAAATTGAAATTCAGCTCATCTGTGAAGAGTTTTCAGTTAGTGGCATTGTATTCCAAAACAGGTCGAAACTTCAGAGAAATGAAAATCGAGATATCAGTGAGGTCATTGCTCTTGGTGTGCCCAATCCTCGGACTTCCACTGAAGTTCAGTATGACCAAAGGCTCTTCAACCAGTCCAAGGTACAGCAGAAATAGCATCTTAGGTATTATGAATACTGATCCTCAGAGAAAAGATAATCATATCATAGATTTGGATTAGCCTAAGGTATGCTAGCATGATGCCAAAAAAATTGGAAGTTGCATGTTGTAATTTAAAAGACAAGTCAGATAAAACAACTCTGATTTTTGACTTGTTACAGCTGGCTAAGATTTGAGACACTAGTGCAAATGAAAGAAATTAGGTTATAAAACTTTACATTTCTTTCATCTTTTTGCCACTATGTCTATACAAATGGAAATTGTCTAGTACCTGCTTATACTAATATCCCTCAATTTTAAAGACAAGTCACTAAAGTAGTCATACTTGTTAATAAATGTTATTTAACCTAAGGTCCCAAAGGTGATATAAACAAGTTTATGGGCTTTGTGAGTTTTTTTAATGAACATCTTTTTAATTTGCAGTTTAGGTTGTTGAAAATGTGAGCTATAAATGAGCAAGCACTTACTCTTCACATGAATATATTCATATTCAACTTTTAATAAATAATAATGTATATTTTTTTTATGTCCTGTTTTTCACTAGGGTATGGACAGTGGTTTTGCTGGTGGAGAAGATGAAATTTACAATGTTTACGATCAAGCCTGGAGAGGTGGTAAAGATATGGCCCAGAATATTTACAGGCCCAGTAAAAATCTGGACAAGGACATGTATGGTGATGACCTAGAAGCCAGAATAAAGACCAACAGGTACCAAGGCACATAGCTCAGTTTCAGTATTCACGCCAGTGAAAACAAGTGGTTCATAGTCCTTTCTCTTTTTCCATAGGTTTGTTCCCGATAAGGAGTTTTCTGGTTCAGACCGTAGGCAAAGAGGTCGAGAAGGACCAGTTCAGTTTGAGGAAGATCCTTTTGGTTTGGACAAGTTTTTGGAAGAAGCCAAACAACATGGTGGCTCTAAAAGACCCTCAGATAGCAGCCGCCCCAAGGAACATGAGCATGAAGGCAAGAAGAGGAGGAAGGAGTAGATATACCTCTCTTCAGAGTGAATGGACTATTATCCATAACCCTAATGATGTAGTTCATATGGGGGAACACTTTGTAAATGGTCAGGATAAAAACCAAATCTGGGTGTTAGACCCCAGCGCTTTTTATTACGGGAGAAAGGGCGGGATGGAAAATTCTACTTTGAACTATTTAGTTTTTTTTAAAGAGTGGGTTGTTTATGCTTCTCCCACCTTGTGGCATTTATAGAACATAGTGCCCCACACATGATTTAAGACCACTTCCTTTTGTGTGACCTTAGTACTTTGGGGTTAATATTTTGTGTAAGAACAACTGCTTATGAATAGTTATCCCAACCACAGTGAGAAGGATGTTCACATATTGGAACTGTCCTGCCAAATGATGTTTGCCCCTATTGTGTTCTATTTTAATTTGGAGTGGAGAAAATAAGCTCTTGCTTGGTGCAACTATTTGTTTCAAATAAAAACATTTAGACAAAATTTTCAGTTTTTTTTAATAGGCAGTAATAGTCTCAAAAATATTTCTCTTCATCAGATGTTTGATCCCCTTGCAAAACTTTTGGTCTTTGAGCTTGAACGTGGAGCTGAAAAAATCAAATAAGCACTGTAAAGAAAGGCAAGGTCTGCAAAAACATTAAAACTGAAAACTGCCACTTTAAGACTGCCTTTTTATTAGGGAGTCAGCACCAATAAGTCAAGAGAATTTTGTTCTTTGTTCTTAAGACTCCCTGAACTTCAATTAAAAATTGTAAATCAGTTTGACCCAAGGTCACAAAGTGGAAAAGCCAGGATTTCAACTCCAGTCTCCCTGACTTGTAAGCAGACTGCTGTTTCCACTGCTCCGTGTTACATAAGCTTGCTAATAACCATTACAATCTTCTTGTACTTCCCTCCCCAGACCTCTCAGAACTGGGCACTCTACCGCTACCACCATTCCTTAACAAACATTAAGGCAGCCTCAGTTACAAATCCCAAAGTCCCTGTCATTCCACACTTCTGACCTAATTGATATGCAGAAAATTCATGATATGATATAGAAAAATATTTACCTTTACTCCATCAATAACATGGTTTTCCTGTTGTAGTGCATTCTGAAGTTCTTCTTCTGAAGAAAAATGAATCCAGCCCATACCTCTATGAAAGCCAGTCTCTTTGTCCTAAAAATTCAAAATTTAAGAAAACTTGAATCATGAACCTGAAAATGTTTCCCATGAGCTCCAAATCAAACTACCAACTTTCTCATCTGCCCAAAATGGGATAAAAGACATTTTACTGTCCATAACCTTGCTTTAATATGTATTCACCCTCCTAGTTACCCAAAGCTTAATCTCTACATTATTCTTAACATTCTCTCTGCTTTTCTGCTACCATTGAAGTAAAATATCGGAATGAGCTTTCTGTGTCATTCTCGATACAAACCGCACTAACAGCAGTAGTCAAGGGAAATTTTAATCCCAGAAAAAAGTACTCTCGTTTCTAACTTTCTCACTTCTAGACACTAGAAAACTAAACTTCAAAACCTAGTTGCATTTCTGGCAATTTCTATGACCACCCTCATCACCACCATTACCATTATCACATGTTCCTAATGAAAAACAGGAAAAATATATCTATTATCCTTATTTACCTAGTTCCAGACCTGTGGTTAATTTAAGCAATCTTGCTACTTTAACTTGTGCAAAAGGCAGAGTGCATATATCAGTCAAGCTTATACATCAGCATATGTAGAAAAAATTCTAGTGTGCTTGCATGCAACTGCCCCCCTACCCTCCCCACCAGCCCTAATATATAAACGACAGATGACAAGATGTCACTATTCAATGCACATCATCAGTCTTATTACAAATTTATGTTCTGCTCTGCACCCCTAAAAAATTCTTAGAGTGCCCCTATACTTCAAAGGTAACTTAATAAGTATTAACTGATAACAAGGAAAGTTTCTGGTAATATCCTAGTGATTCACTCCTTACCTCAGGCAACAAGACAATTTCTAAAGCACTTTCTACCTCCATATGACCATTTCCATGAGTAAAAGCCTTAAAAATTTGTGTTAAAACTTAGACATGCTACATCTAAGACAGGGATCTGGATTTCCAATTTGAGTACAATGAACTTAACTAGAAACTAATTTTTTTCCTGTTATATTTTGTTTTACCAAGAATCAAAGCCTATGTTTAAGATCTGTTAACTCCAGGACCTAAATTATTTTGTTTATACTTTTAAGAGTGAAATGACAACAAAGAAACAGCTGTTAATTTTTTTTGTAGAAACTTTTCAAGAAATACCAATTTCATACTCTTTGTAAAATTATAGTTTTTAAGCGTATAGAAATATTTTCATGTCCATAATACACATGCCTCATTCTTTTAGTCAACAGTATAAAATTCCACTGTATCAATGAATATATAATCCCACTAATGAAGTTAGGTTCTTTCCAGTTATGAAATTATTAACGCTGCTTTGAATGTTTTGACCACACATTTCTGTAGAATAAATTCCTAGAAATGGAATTGCTAAATCAAAGCAAATGCAAATTAAAAAATGAAGGTACCCATTAAATGT